ACAATTTCTGATTAAAGAGCAAATAGATTGAGGCCAACAAACAATACACACTGCAACTAGGAGAAAGGTAATAAGGGGACAAAGCCCATGTGAAAAACACTCCTTGTTTCTTTGAAAGTGGCACTGGCAACTTGGAAAGCAAATACTGGAAACCTGGAGGGGGCCTGTTGGAGGGCCACCAAGACTACAGGGTTGAAGAACCAGACATAAGAAGAAAGGTTGAAGGAACTGGGTTTGCTCCACTTAGAAAGGAGAAGGCTCGGGAGGGTGAGGAGGATCTAATCATGGTCTTCCAATGCCTAACAGGTAGTTTTAGAGAAGACAGAGGTGTCCTCTTCACAAGGATGCACAGTGAAAGGACAAGAGACCATGGGCCACAAGTTGCTTCAAGGAAATTTTTTCTTGCCATAAGAAAAAACAAGCAAACAATTCTTTGCCATAAGAACAATTAAACAATGGGATAGGTTGCCCAGAGAAGTGGTGGACTTTCTCACACTGGAAGTATTCAAGTCTTAGCTTAGCTTGACAAGGACATGGACAACCTAATATAGGGTCCTGCTTTCAGCAGAAGGTTAGACCAAATAATCTCCAGAGGTCCCTTCCAACCCAGACTACTCTCCGATTCTGTATGTGAAACTCTGCAGCTACTGTATTTTAAATTAGTACCTGTCACAAACACAGAAATAATTTAGAAAAAAATGCTTTATGCATAGCTGTTTTGATTCAACTTTGCACTGTTATAAATCCATTAGTGTCAATGGATTTATATACACATGTGTATGCTGATACAGCCTATTTTTCTGCTTTTTTTCCCCAGGTTCTTTACTATGTAAGGTTGGCCAACATGTAAGTATACTTTGCATATCTGCTAAATGCCAAACTCCTGAATTCTACACGAATAAAGCTGTTTGCTCCGCACATGCAGAACACCATACCATGCAGAACCACTCCTCACTTCCTCCCTGGATGGAGTCATGTATGTTATTGCCAAGAAATATGCTTCTTAAAAAAACAAAAGTTAAAAAAGCCCAGCTTTGTCAGGAAAAACAGCACTGGAATCTGTTGCAAAAGATTTAAGGATTTTTTTTTTTTTAAAGGAAACAAAGGGAAAATACTTTAATTTTGATGTAACAAGCCACCTAAAATTGCTTTTGCTCAGGAATGGATTGATGCAACGCTTACTAATTTCCAAGTTTATCTAGAAAGCTAAGCATGATGATGCCTAGAACCAGATGATAAATATACCTTCTCATCTATTAGAATCCAAATGACTTGACTCTGGTACTATTTCCCAGTTGCTTTGGCACATAAATTCAGAAACAACTGTCAAGTTTACTATGAGCTGACTGAGTGTTTGGGCTGTTACATTAAGAGTGCTCAGCAGAAGGTCAAAGAGCTTCTACTGTACACCAGGAGGCCTTTGATGAAGAAATACTCGTAATAAAATGGAACTCTAGAGAAAAGCAGATGTACCAGGCAACTCTCAGCCACTTTGATTTTTGGATCAGCTATCACTTTTAAACATAACACCACTAACTTTTCGGCTTTAGTAACAAGCTGTGATTCCTACTTTCCAGCCTTTGATAAATGGACTGTCAGCTCCTCCTCACCCAGAAAAAAAAGGTTAAGAAAAGGTTACTTCCCTTATTCCAGTCCATACCTCTTACAGAATTTGCTTTTAAATATATATTATTTTTCTTAAGCTCATGAAAATCTATTTCCATGAAATCAAATCCACACAGCCCAATTGTTTATTAAGCCATGTTTAGTACAAATATGCTAGTCCTGTCCTTACAGCAAGGTCCTCATTTTCATCTATACCAGCACTGATTACATTCTTCTCAAAATCGTATTTGTAGACTGTAAGGTCAGATTTTCTACTACAGCTATCAAGAGAGCCCTTCATTATTACTTGTTATTTCCAAGCTTATCCCCAAATGCCTCAACATGATGTAAAACATCCAGGCTAGTTGCACCTCTGCATAAAAGCTTTGCATTAGTTTACTACAGTTGAGTGTTGGATACACAGTGAGTTACTTTCAGAGATTAGGATACATTCATGTGAAGCTGTACTTTACAGCTATTGCTTCAAAAGACTCATGTACTGTTAAAAAAAAAAACAAACAAACAACACAGCACTAAGAGTTGTGCACACAACTGATTTCTTGGACTCAACTTTCAGAGTAGTCCTGAAACCGATTTAACTAGCATTCTTCAAATTTATGAGCGTCTAAATTAAACATAAATAGCTATCAGGAGCAAAAGTCTTTGTCAACAATTTTCAAAGACAAATAAAAAAGCACTGCAGAATTAAGGTTACACCTTGCTTTAACCACTCCCCCAACTATTCACCAAATTTCTTCAGAGACATTTCCTCAGTTTGTTCAAATCAGTGTAAGAAGTCAGAGGTGATTGGTAAGAGTTTCACACAAGCACAGATGCTTGCTTCGAATATGCTACTTCGCACCTATGGTTCATACCACAAATATGTGTGTCTATGGTAGAGCTCAAAGAACTAAACACCCTATGGGATATAACTATTTTTAAATTATGTTAATAAGGGCTTATTGTTTCCTGCTTTAAGGACATTCACCTACTTCTTTGTTTGAAAACTGCACTTGCTGCACTCAGTTAGCATCCATCCATAAGTAAAAGAGGGGAGTGTCACAATTCTGCTCCTGGTTCAAATCATGTTGCCATGGAAGCAGATGTTGGATTGATGAAAATAGGTCAACTGTTCAAAAAGAAAGATCACTGTTTTAATACTTTAAAAATATTATTAGATGTTATTATTTTAATGCTTACCATTATTTATTATCAAATGCTTAATATTTTATTAAATTTAATTAACATTTACTTTGCTCATACAATACCTATTCCCACGAAAAGTGTAGACAGCAGTAGAGTAAATGTTGTTAATAAAAAAAAAATATATATATTTTGCCTAAATCTGTAAGGGTTCAGCACAGAATGTTTAAAAGAATACCACACACAGTTCTTCATTACATCTGTACTGAGTGATTACAAATACTGGCATATAAACATATTTCCATTTGAAGAGTATTAATATTATTTTTTCAAAAGCACTCACATTTTTTGAAGAAAAAATCCAGGACATTGCTAATACCTGTGCTTGGCTTTGGTAAGGACAGTGCTTCTTTTGTTTAGCTTTGCATCAAACATACATAAATATTCAACTGGAGTCTCAATTACTTAAACCTGATAAAAATATTTAGTGACAACTGAGATGTAGGTAGGTTACCCCATCAGTTGAACATGTGAAAGCATACATAGCCTACTAAAAGAAATTTCATGTGTTCCTTAACACTTTCACGCTGCCTGATGTTGGCAACATTGCATAAACACACCATAAAATTGTCATCCCCAGCTGCAGCAAACACCAGAAAGTAAAATAACTCACCTCTATCCTGTGTTTCTGAATCTTACTAGTTGATCTAAAATTCATTTCTATCAACACCCTGACACATCCAACAGAATTTTGTCCTACCTTGACACTGATGTACTTTAGATGGGCCAAGTTTGTCCTAGAGGTTGACAGTGATTTATTCTGTTTCTGAACTGTTCTTTACAACTGAAATGCACAGCTTAATCATTACTAAATATAGTAAAGGTGTATAGGAATACTGCCCACGCATGAGATTTGTGCTCCTCTCCTAGTTTAGGGATCTTCCTGTAGATGAAGCAATACTTACAGGAGAAAGACTCAGTGGTGTGGAAGCCCCTCAAATTTAATCCAGCACAAACCTACAGCACTGCCCTGTGTCTTCCACATACATTGCTTCTGCCCTGCTCCTTTCACCAGTGAATTAGGTCAGACAGCTTCTCCCAGATCAAGTCCCTAATCTGATTCATCATGCACCAGATAAAAGAAAGTGCCAATGTAACAGATAAGATAAATAAATACCCAAGAAGCAAAGGCAAAAACAGCCCCATCTCTTTAAGCTGCCATAAATCCACACTACTTTCATTTAGTCATACAGTTTTCATAATATGATCTCTCTGAATTGTTGTCCAGTAATGAACTACAGCATTACATTTAAATTGCCAAAATAGTTTTGTATTAAAATACCTCACTGAGGTTAATGCAAATGTTCACACACACCTAATGGAATACATCAGACTGTCTGTAGACACAAACTTCAGTAAACCAGCTGACGCTCTGAAAACCTTAAGTCTTGGAAAAAAAACCTCAAAGCAAGCTTGTAATTCATTGCATAACCCATAACACCTGTAAAGACAACAAAGGATGTGCTTCTGCTGCACCTCCATGAGGTGATGCAATTTAACAACTACACATAGACAACCCAGACTTTTTGCCACAAGAAAAGTAATCCAATTCCTAAAAGCTAAAGTAGCGTAATGTTGAAAGTCAAAGCAGTGCAGTACAAGAAAGCTCCAAAAAAAAGATATGTCAGAGCAAAGTGCTATAATCTCAGTTACTATATAGGATGCCCACAGTCATCCCTCCTTGCCTGAAAAGGAATAAACTCAAGTATTTACTACATAGAATTAGGAAAAGACGAAACCCAAATGTTATTAACAGTCACTAGTATTTATAGTCATCATACATACTTGTTTCAGATAAGGCTTAGAGAAAATATCCATAAAGATTATGTAGGAGATCTTTATAAAATATGCTGGGGTCACAGAGAAACATATAATTCACAAAAACAGGGTTATTTTGCTTCTTGAAAGAGCACTATCAAATTCTTGAAACATATGAAACAATAAATACACAGTATCTTGTGAGCTTAAGGAAAAGTATGGCAACAATATTCACAGTACATGAAAACACACAAGGAAAAAAAAGAAAGAAATCAAAAAGCAAGTCTTCAAAACACTTCTTTGGTAGGGAAATCTTAATTCCCTTTTAATATATGGAGGGGAAGAAAAACACCCCTCTACTTCCCAGTATTATTTCCACTGTTGTTCATGTTATTTGCTACAAAAACACATGTGCTGTTTGAAGGTAGACTTACCTCTACCAATGCCACAGTCAGAATAAGGTCCGTTTTTGAGTCTGGAAAAAGGGCATTCACTTGAGGAGACATTCCAATCAGTATGCAGTTAGTGACTACTGATATTACACTCATAGTTTCAAAAGCCAACTGAAATAAAACACAAATATATTTATAGTTATGACCAATATCTCTAATTTACCAGTCCCCAAATTGCTCTGGACAATACCTCTCTCTTCATTCAATCCTCAGAAGACCCATTATTTTAACTTTTTATTTTCTTTCATCTTTTGAATTCTATGACACAAGACTTGTTTGGCAAGCAGTCCAGAATTGATTAGCTTTAAGAACAGGCAAGCACAAGACGTTTGCAATACCACAAAGACCATCTGGCAACCCTGAATTTTTCTCTAATTTGATTTCTCTATGTGTGTGTATGTGTGTTCGCTGTGAAGTTAAACACTATTCTTCCACAATTCCATAGTACTGTAGAGAGCTTAAGAAGTTATTTACAGACCACTAATATCCTAGATGTAGGTAATGCCACATTACCTCCTGAAAAATTTGGAATAATCCTAAAGGAGAAAAGGGGACAGGAAAGCAGCCTTATCCCTGGTGTCTTCATGCCTCATAATCTGAACACATAAAAGATCTACACTCATCTACAGTTGTACTCCCGAACATCAATTCCTTTCAAGATAAAGGAAAAAATGCCAAACTCCTAGAGGAACTGATAGTCCCAACACTCTGTTTCTGGAGGTTTTGTCTGAACGTTAAGTAATAGGAAAATATAAGGATGGCTCAGAATGTCTTTCTTAAATCACAACCAGTTATACAAGCTGAAATTTGTTGAAAGACAGACGTACATTTAAACACATGCAATTGCACCAGTTTAAGAAGCTCTTGCCTACAGAGCTCCCACAAAATGCCTGGAAAATATTACTACAGCATGACAATCACTTTTGCAATATCATGGTTACTTGTTCCAAGGTCCTTTCTGGAATGAGAAAGACTGACATTGAATTGTAGCAATTATTACAATGAATTAGCAGAATTAACTTTCTCCTTGACAACAAGCTGGTGACTCAGCTCACCTGATAAAATAATTCCAGTATTCCTTTAAAAGAAATCTTTCAGCCAATGCTCTAACTTCCCACATGAAACAGATAACTAAATTTTGAAGTCATTATTTTTAATTCACAAAGCAAATGCATTTCTACTATTAGTTAAAAACCTACACTATAAAAAACCCCACATGGCTGTACTGTTAGTGTTACGGTTTTTCAGCCTACTCCCTAAATTGAAACAAACTATTCTGGCAAAACCAAATGCTGTTATTAATATACCTACAGCTACACTCGGGACTTATGACCACAGCCTCATTTAACTGGTGGTCACAGCACTGGTCAATGCAGCTATGCCATCAAGATGTTGGCAGCATAAGATTTGGACTGAGAAAATGCATCAGATGTTAAAACACGATCAGATTATAATTACACATTTCAATGACTTAATAATAAAAGACTTCTGCTGTAAGTCCACTTCCTTAATACCTATGTACATGTCTAATGAACATCGCTCAGAATACTTGGTTTGCATGTTTTTACAGTTTCAGTCGAGGTTTCCGATTTCATCTCTCATCTTCCATGTTTCATTTGGTACCAACATTTACAACCCCTCCAAATTAAATCCACTAGTTTATTGTGCACTTTGTCTCCATTACATACCACTAGAAAAGTTGTTAAACTGGAATATGGGTCAGCCCCTTGAAATTTTTTTTCACATTCCTTATCAGGCCACTGCTATTACAGAATGCTAAAGTCTCTGGATGTGACTTAATAGCCGCCTTTCTTTCCAGAAAAACCTCTGGTTTTGGAGGAGTTTTACAGGGTTATTTTTAGTCAGAATCAGTTCAGTGATGCAGCGTACTCAGCAGGCTCCAAACTAGCTGGTGCTAGCATGATTGCATGGGCAAACAACTGAGGACAGAAAATCTTTAAGCCAGTACTACTAACATGAAACTGTTTAGACAGACTACAATGTTCAGGTTGTGCAGAAAGGTCCAGCTCCTGCTCGCAGATCCAGGTTATTTTAAACTTGGTCAGCTTGAGTACCAGCAACCACAAGGGCCCACAGCCAAGCATGGCTTAGGAATCCAAGTACTTACCTATCATTCCTAATTTTTTTGAATCCCTTGCTGAGATCCATGCTTCTGAGATTGGATCAGATGTTACCACTTCTAAAATATATTGGCTGTAAAGAGCGGAGGGCAGTATCTGCCAGCTTTGCTTTGTTGCAGTTGCAACACGACTACAATATATATATATACACAAGGACTAAAGGAAGGATTTGTTTCCTTTTCAAAGGCAAGTGAAGGACGTGGTCAAAAACCCTACAAAAAACCACTATAGCTGGATAGATAGTGTCCTAAAGCATTGAAGAGAACAAAGTACCTAACTAAACTTGAAAAGTGGAGGATGGGTCAAACACAGTTTAGATGATACATTTGTTGAAGTCTTTTTAAAAACAAATTAATAGAAAAAGAAACACACAAAATTACCTGCCAAACACCAATATTTGCTGTGGGTTCTGCAAATGGCCGCTTGTAAACTCTACACATCTTTAAGGCATCAGAATATATCTCTGTGATGTTGTTTAACACTGCAAAGATAGCTGCCAGAGGATAAACACATGAGAAAAGACTCACATAGCCAAACTGTAAGAACAACTCCAGGTAATCATCAAAAGTACCCTGAAAAACAGAGCAAAAATACAAACAACTTTAACCCACAAAAAATACATGAAGAAACACAGAATTAACAACACAGTTGTAAACACACTTCCTCATGCCAGATCAGTTGTTTGGGAATGATTGGTGGCAGAAAACAACAACAAAATACATCCAGTTAATTTGGAATTATTCAATGACTCAAAACTTCTTAAAATGGGGAGGCCAAGGTTTTTCCTTTTGCCTAATGCATTTTCTGCAGTCATACTTCTTACCCTCATTATATGTAGTAATTGTATAAACACATTCATCCCATTCAACTTGCTGACTATCTCAGTGAAACAGTTACAGAAGGAACAGTGGGGGATAGGAAAACAGCATCATGCATTTAAACTGGCAGAACATTCTCCCAAGAGCATAGTGACAAGGGAAGTCCGAGTATTTCAGACTGTCCATGAAAGACCTAACCAGAAAGGTAGGTTGGTAGATCAGAACTCTCTTCTGGTATTTCTGCTTATTTTTTTCAAAATGGGTAAGTCAGAATTAGTGGCCCACTTGAAGGCTGAAGTGACAGAATGCAGCACTGACATCTGAAAGGAATGATTAATGCAAACAAAAAGCCCTATTTTGGCAAATGCGCAACACGTCTATCACCTGATCTTTAAACCAAAAATGCGGGTACTTAAATACTGATGAATTATTCACCTGTAGGTTATTAGGCATATCTGATATTAGTTTTGTAGTATTAGTAATAGTTTTCTATGATTTGCAGCACTTATTTATGGAAGCGAAGAACAAAATCAATTCTCTTTGAAAGAAAAGGTGCTCGCTGAACAAAGGATGGTGAAATACCTTGAAGAAGTTAAACTGGGATCTAGCTATATTGTATTCTCCCAGACCCACACATTTTCCTCTCTCTCAAAAATGAGATATTAAAAATAAAGACTTGACAGTAACTGAGATTATTACAAGAACCATGTAAAATTTGGTTTAGCTTCATATATCAGACACATGGTTCTCTAATCTTTTTTGTAGGTTATAGCTGTTAAACTGACTGCCTCTCCAGCACCTGGTGCTTTTTTTCTGGGTAACAGAGAGAGGCAGTAGAAGCCTGCAAGCTCAGAAATCAAGGTGGGGTGGGCATTAGCTGCACTCTTCGCTTGAGCTCATTTTCGACTTGTGTAGTATAGCTGGGTCTGACAAACTGATCTGCAGCCCAGACCCTGAGGAGCTACCTAACTTTTAAAAACAATGAGATTTTTCCACACAAATGTTTTGTATGAACTCTGAATTTCAGTATGGTGGGACATTTTGTGCAGTGGATCACTCACTGGAGTGGCAGTCACATATTTGTCCCTGCTATCACTTCCTCAGACAACTGTTGCAGGCAGGGAGCAACGCTTCCCTTTGCGCTTCTCCTTCAGGTAACTGCACAGTATTCCCACTACTTCTTCACACATTTCTTCTCATTTCCTTGTCCAGTACCCATTGACTTTTAGAACAGCAGAGTATGAAAAGAAAATTACTACTTTTTCAGCTATGACATTTTGTGCAGGAAGAGAGGAGTCTGATAGGACGTTAAAGAAATTTCAAAGTGTGCCATTGTCAGCCACAAAAGCAGCACATAAATTATGGCATCAAGGAAACAGTATCAACAAAGAAATTCAGGGAGAAAATTAATTAGGAGAAAAGCAGGAATTTAAAAAAAAAATTACTGCAGAATGCTTTTACATCTTACACTGGATTAAGAGCTGGAGATTTGAAAAGTGAGAGAGAGAGAGGACAAACAAGAAAGAGAATTAGAAGTTAAAGAGTAAGTGAAGGAAAGAAAAAAAAGAAGACCATGAAATGCTGAATTCTGTCAAGACTCCTGGTAAACTCCTCAGTTACTAAACATAGTCAAATGCTTCCCCCTTGTGACAGATTTAATCGTAGAAATACTCTTGCCTGCTGACACCTCACTGCTTGCAAACAAATCAGCGGTCTGATATTGTATATTCACAAACACAGCACAGTTAAAATCTTTAGACTGAAAATAAAATTAAGGCCTTGAGTACACAGTACCCTGAACTGTAACTGAGGCTAGCAGTGGATACCTCCAAGGCAAAGTCATAACTCTACAACTGACCTGTTGGGTCCCCGTGGAAAATTACTCACGGCAGAACGGTACAGCAGGTGCAAATACATTTGATCCAGCTCTGCACAAGAAGCACTGGGTAATGTGCACGAATGAATGGGGACTCTGCTCTGTTCTCTATTGTAAGATAGCTGCAGTCTCTAAATCTCTCTCTCCTCATATAAAATGTTGGAAATACCAACCTTCCCAGAGGAATGCAAGTATTAGCACTTGCACAGTTTTTCAAGGCAAAGGTAGTATTTCTTTTTCCTCTTCCCATTTCATGGCACTTTATGCAGGAAGAGAGGAATCTGATACAGTATTGATATCAAATTTCAAACTGCTATTCTCTGCCTTTTACATAAAAGGTACACTAGCTACATATAATTCTTATTTTGTAAAAGTATAAATCATACAGTATTAAGCCTCTTGTGACCATGCCTGCAGCATCTGATCAAGCAAGTTGTCAGCCAGTCTGTAAGGCCTTAACATGACACACACTAGAGTCTGCTTTGTCAATTCCTTTAGAACAGCAAGTAACAAATTGCACGAAGTCTGTTATATACAATTAAAAATTGCACTGGGTAGGAGGTGGACAGGAATGGAGCTAGGAAGACAGAGAATGCCCAAGCTGTAGTTTCAAGAAGCAAGAGCTTCGGGCAGTAGTATCGAAGAGTTGGTCTCTTCTGCCCTCTCCATTTCTGGCCCAACCCAGACAAGAGGGCATTCTCTCAGGCTATAGTTTAACTGACAGTTTAAGCTAGTATCACTGCAAAAACAAACTAAACCAGAAACAGCTTCCCCCTTCCCTACGACAGGCTGGTAGCCTCCAGGAAATTAAGGGCATATTACACAAATAATTCTTCCAGTGATACAGCTTTAGGTAGCTCCAGATTCAGCTGTTCAGTCCTACCCCTTCATGCTGGTGTAACTGGGATCCTGCACTGCATCAGTTTCTTGATCCAGTGCACCATGTAGCTGTATAAACCACAGTACCAGCAAAACTGATGAAGCTGGAAATAAGTTGCTAGGCCAGACAGCCAGGAATATTCTAGGTTGCAGTAGCTGATGTCTCTGTCAACTACAGCCCAGAAAACTTCTAACTCTTTTACAGTAGTAAAACGTACAAAATAGGTGCCCATTTCTTTCTCCAAGTTGACTTGTTCGACTAATGGCAGGTCCATATCTGTTTTCAGAGAACACACGTGTTTCTTCATCCTCTTCTTATGTCTCTTTTGGAGCCAGTAAGGAAGCAAAGATTCTGCAAACTGATTAAGGATCTGCGAAGTTATCAGCAAAGTGGCCAAGCTCTTAAGTTTAAAAAGAAAAAAAAAAAGAAAAAGAAAAAAAGAAAAAATTAATAGATCTGTGATAAGCCTATTATCATTTCCCATTTTGTGTGTTCTAGTAACACTGTAAGTTGTTGTACTATGACAAAAGAAGGCCAGCCTAACAAAACTAGCAATAGCATATGAAAGGTATAGCTGCTCTAGTTCCCATTCTTTGCTATGTGCTGAAAAGGGCAACATAGGAGTTAGAAGTCTAAATATTTTGTGGATTTGGACGTATCTTACCTTAAAGTATAGGAAACGTCATGAATGGCATGTCTGGTATAGGTAAGTCAAATGTTTTGCTAGAGATCTCTTTAGAGGAACAGAATTCTTAAACTGAAAATCTTGTTCTTTTGTTCATTAAGTTCAGAGCAAAAATACTTTCCTTACACCTGATTAGCATCCATTTAAGTTCAAAAGACATTAACAACAGAAAGCTGATGTCAAATACCAACTACAAATTATTTTTGCTTTTATTTATTCTCAGCTCCTCATTGCAGTCATAAACTTAATCATTCTCCTATCCTCAAGAGTCTCTTATTAAGAACACTACAGAGAAAAACCATTTTCTAATATAAAGGGAGAGAAGGAGGAAATGAAAATTTTCCAGCCTCATCTGTGTGAGGGAATAATCAATTTATCTGAAAACAGTTCCTCATTTATATGGATTGAAAAAATTGCTCTACATTACTCTTATGATTCTGCAGCTGTGCTAGAAGAACTGAAATATGGAAGCTGGATTTGTAAGAAAATATTAACTCACCAATGAATATATTTCTTACATATTTTAGAAAAACAATTAAAAACTGAAGTCCTATTTCAATCAATCTTTCATTTTCCCAGATTCATCAACATTCTTGAGGTGTTCTTGGGACTCACCTGCCTCAAAAGCTTCATATCAAACAGCACAAAGGCGATGTAGAAGAGAGATGCAAAACAATTTAAGAAGTTGAACTGCAATTAAAAATACTTGTAATTAGTACTCAAGCAAAAGTTCAAATGCAGAATATTATCTAACTTAACAGTTTCCTTGACTAAACAGCTTCCATGCAGATGTAAACTATTACAGTTTTTGTTACCATTTTTAAAACTTCTGTCAGAAAAAACTCATTTTCAATATTGGTCCTACTCAGATTTTCATTTGACAAGCTTAATGCTTTCCTAAAGCATGATATACAAAGAAATGTGGATGTTAAAAACACATCATCTTCTACTTAACTTTCATCTTTTGGGAGTTTCCCCACAGGTAATAAAAAAAAAGGGATGTATTAATCTTAATTTAGGGCAATGATTTTTTTTTCCAAATAAATACTTTATCAAAATATACGCATTGGATGATGTATCTCTCAATATGTCCAACTGTGCCTCGATATATGTTAGTTGAGCTTTATGTTTAATCATTTCAAGAGGTTTTACAACCAACAGAAATACTCCCTGCCTCTAAAATGAGACATAATCACAGTATTGCACCTGAAAAATCATAATCAAGCTCTGAAGTAGGAGAAAACTTTTCCTACTTGCTATCACCGCTGGAGCTCACGGATGACAGACACTGGCGAGTGCAGAGAGCCACTCATAGGCTGAAAATGAAACTTGGGGGGGTTTACATCTGACTTTTTTTTTTTAATTATTATTTTATATAAATTTCCTATAGGAAAAAAAGAGTGTGCTATTTTTTGAGAAAGGCAGAGACAATGCTATAAATGATACGTACAAGAGTTTTAGCTCCAGAGATTACTAGTACCAGAAGGAAAACAAGCAAATAAAAAAAAATAATAATAAAAAAGCATGCTGAGTTCAGGGGGGGGAAAAGGGGAACTCTGGAAGAGAACTGAACAATCTTTTCAAAATGGAAACAAAAAGATTAAGTTTCAAAATAAGTCAATCTTTACAACTGCTTTTACTGAACATCTTGTATGGGAATTCAAGATTTACAATACACTTCCTTAGAATCAATGCTGCATCTGGATATACACCTGAAAGAGATACCGAACATACATACACACACGCTATTTGTTCAGAGTCACAAAGTAAATGGATGATTATATACTATAAACTGCATAGGAGCAGACTGATGGACATGTATCTCCAGCCATCTCTGACAGGTTGTTTGAATGTTACTACAGGTAGAAGTTAATACGAACTTTTTAAAATACAGGTTTACCATAAAATCTTGCAAAAAGTGAAAGAAATAGTTCCCAGTTGAAGACAGGACCGCATCAATTAACAGACTTATACATACAGAATTCTAAAGAAAGAAAAAAATCAATACAAATAAAACTCCAAATCTCTATTATAAAAAGAGGCATCTAAAACAGTCTAGCAATTACTGCAACCACGAGAGAAATCCTGTTTACTCTGATATTTGTGCTAGTATTTGGCCTTGAAAAAAACTGTAGGTCAGTGAGGTAATGCTAGAAAAGCACTAATAAAACACATGACAAGTTCTTTTTTTAAATCATTCTAAAAGCTGCTTGTGCTACATACTTACCACTAAAACTTTCAGAATTAAATGATTCTGATATGAAGATTCCAGCCTGTGATTTTCTGAAATACCAACAAAATTATTAATCAGTAAAGAGCAGAAGCACTTACCATATACTAGACACTGATACAAAGCATAAACAGACAATTTTCCTAAACCTAAAAATTACTTAACTAATGGTTTATGGGGAATAGTTCCTTCAACACATCATGGCAAAAAGAATTTACACTGTACCAGTACCTCACTTAACCTATAAAGCTGATCTGATGCACAATACTGACATACATATATTTTTGGCTACAACTCTGGTATTTTTTCTAATGAAAAACTTTTTCCTTTTACATCTTTCTTTCTCAGAAGAGCTGTTTTATAACAGAAAAATTATCCATCATTCTAAACATTTAATAAAGCATGCCTAGTTATTGATTTCTCTTTAGCTGAAAACAAATCCAAAACTAATTGGAATACATTGTGAAAAATAACAATATCAGATTCAATTCAAAACCAGCAAATGCTCACAGAAATATTCCCATCCATCTCCAAGGAATTTAGATCAGACCCTAAGCTCTAAAGCAAGACTAGACTACAGGAGGTTTGACTGATGCATTACTCATTCTAAAACTAAGATTTTCAGTTCATTCAAGATAAACTGTGAGAAGCTGATGTTTGAGAAAGTCTGGTTACTAGAGGGGGAAGTGAATGGGAGATTTCCCATTTCTTTTTGCTATTTTGACAGATTGTATCTTTAAAGCCCTGGCTAAGCATGAGCTGCGTCAACAAAGCTGAAAGGAGAGACTGTTGCCTACAGACCTTGCTCAGGACAGAATAGCAGAGTTCTACTCTGACAAAGTGTGAAGTTGGGCCTGACACATGGAAGATGCACTCAGGGGACTGAATGCAATTTTTACTTACAGCTTTCACTAAATGATCAGTTCTCATAAAAAATGGGTGCAAGAGGTGTGCTTAAAAATACCCCAGATTGTTCCCTATGCTTTGCTAGTTTAGCTGTTTAAGTTAGATCTTAGCTGAAAATATGCCAGGTGGGAAGGGAGGTAGGACACCCAGATGAGCTCTTCATCCTATTCACAGCATGGCAGCATAAACACATTGGATAGCACAGAGAAGGCACAAGCTGTCAGTGTAGAGAGTTACATAAATACTGTTGCTGCTATGAAATGTCAGCTTAAAACAAGAAAAATCTGGGTTAAAAAAATCTTGGGTTACTTGTAAAGGACATTTTAGTCTACTTGATCAACACAACTGGGCATTTTGCATAAAAAACAATTTCTTGCAGTATAGTAAAAAAAAAAGAAACAAAACAGTCAGTGAAACCTAGATACTAATTTAAAAATCATTATTTAAATAAAACCCTTGAACAGTCATAAACAAATCAAGAAGATGCTTGCTTTTACTGTTGCTGCTGTCAAGTTGAATTTGCTGAGCAAATCATTTTGGCATGCATAACCAATCCCCACTTCTACACCTCTTTTATTCTGTCTTCTGCATCAATCTCCCTTTTGCTTAATCTTTCTTAGGTTAATTTTCTGGGCCTCCAGTTTTAGTAATCTGGATTCTGTCCTGTAAATGTATGCCATACTGAGCTACACAAAACACTTAACTTCCCATTAGCTTCATCTATTAACTTTGTCTGAAATTGACTGCACACGTCTGTAAAAGTGATAAAATTCAAAATAAACACTAACATTTCACTATCCTTATGTTAGGTTAAAAAACATAAGGCCCAATCTGTTAAATAAGTCACACACACAAGGAAAACAAGGCAATCTATTATAACGTTCCTCCTCTTCTGAAAGTGCCCAGAGGCAAATATTTTGATAGGGATGCGAAATCTCTGTCTTTGTTATATATATAGCATACACAAACACTCTCATTTAGTTGATGTTTTTAGAATTTGTTCCATTATCTCAGTGCCTCTGTCCTCTGCACAGATGTATCAATAGACTAAGATGTATTCAGCAAACCGAGATTGTGGATGAAGCTGCTGGGACAGTCCCTCCTGCCACCCACCTCTGAGCTCCCATCCTCACAATCTCACCTCACCACTTTTGCCAGCACTATGGCTGATATATCCAAACAAAGAGGTAAATCAGGGAAGGGGGAATTCTGCACTAAAGGCAGAGAGGGGATGATCAGGAAGGTAGAATCACCCCTCTTGATGGCATGCTAGACTCAGACCAAATTAAACCAAACATGAAACTGCACTCAGAACACTCAAAATAAATACAAGAAGTTAAAATGGCCATCTCTTTTACCACACAGTAAAAATCTACTTCAGGAAATTTCTTTAGCTTTCCATTGAACAAGAACTCACAGTAGTGTATTCTACTCGGATTCTAACTTTCAGGAGAAATAAACAACTTTCTTACCCCATGATGTTAAGAATTCAGCAGCATACCGATAGATACGGTTCATAATTTCAATCACAACAGCATATATGATACTGGGCACAAACAGCATCAAGCTGCTAAAAGTAGACTCATTCTCTTCATGATAATCCAGAGCCCACTTTTCCAAGTCAAAGTAAATCATCATCACGTACAGTGAGAAGTAGAGGCAAAGGCACACAAATGGTAAGGACACCAGATAAATCCGTATTTGTCTCTTAATACTTGAGTATACTGGTTCCTCCCTCCCAGTAATGGGATTGATACCCAGGACACCATGGAAGCCCGGTCTTGGTTCTTCAAACTGTCGTTTCATCAACAGTGTCCCCCAACGGTATGTCATGATGGCGCAAATCCGCTTCCAAACTTCCAGTATCACAGTGGACCAGAGCAGGTTGAATGTGGCAAACATCACGTATTTGTCATAGTCTTCCCATGCAAACACATAATAAGGAATCCCAATGACAGCCATGGGAATTAAAGCAAATGTGAAGTACTCTAAGAAGCCAAAGTAAAGAGCAATGGTTTCGCCAAAGTAGCAGCGTATCTCATCTGCAAAGAAAAATGAATCAAGTAAGACTACACTTAGCATAAATGTCAGTATATCAAACTTGACTCTACATGAATCCTTTGGCCCAATTTTTTCTTCTAAATAACACAATGAATATTACTGCTTTTTTGTTCCTCTTCCTCCCATGTTCCAAAAACTCAAGGGTCATTTGAATTTTTTTTATATTATATATATATATATATGCACATAAACATATATACATATTTGACTTCTCTACCATCTGAATATATCTCAATACTTACCATATCAAGATCAGATATCCAGAGGGGGAAAAAACCCAAAACACTAGCATTCTTGAAAACTGAATCTATCAATGAATGGCTAGGACGGCACAGAAGACAAATTTTAACACTGAGTGACACCTAACTATTGAAGCTTCTCCCCAGTATACGTACACCTGGGAAACAAATTTGTTTCAGCCTGCTTAAGGCCAAAAAGGACTAGTTGTGCCTTCAAGGAACTAAAGGACTAGATGGAAAGATATATTGAAATCTTAAATCTTAAACATGTCAGATGGCACACCCAGGCTGAGATATTCCCTTCAGCAGTATTTGTACAATACTTACCATCCACACAGGAGTTTCACTTCTATAGAGGCTAAATGCTGGAGTAGAAGTTATGAAGGACCCTTGGTCTTCTCACACAAACTGAAGAGAAAACTTCTCCAGAAGAAACCCTGCACTTGATTTGTAGTGCAGTAAGGACCCACTTACCTAAAGGTTGATAGCCAACTTTGACTCGGCCATACCAGCTGTGACAGAGCTTTTTCAACTCTTCTCTATCATGCAGTGGGAAAATCTGAATTAGAATACCACTGGTCAATAATCTTCTCACAAGTACTTAGTACTCCTTCAAAGGACAGTGAAGTTGATATAAGCAACAGTCTACGTCATGTACTTAGCAAGACTAAAGTTACTTTGAAATAAATCTAGCATTTAAATCCAAAAACCAAACAAAATGTCTGCATGTTAGTTAAAAATTACCCATTATAGAGAACAGTTCTACCTATTCCTACAAAGACCCTGCTGTCCACTGTAAGAGAGTGACCTTTTACATCTATTATTTCCAGAGGTTTGCAATATAATCAGCTGCAGCTTGAATAACAACAAGTGCTACAGGTCAGAACTGAAATGCCATGTGTAGCTTTGTGGGGAAAGGTCTGGCTCTTACATTTGACGGAAGAAAGGCATAGCAAATCAAACTGACGTAGCAAAACCAAAACACTAAATGAAGATGCATTGTTGTATTAATTATGGAAAAGACACTAAAAACATTTTTGAATGATCAGTTGATGCTAATTCATAAATTACAACACATTAATTGCACACAAATCAAATATTCCACCATTTTTAATAAACTTTGTTGTGAAAAGCAATACTATCTGTGTTGATAAACAATTAACAAACTGCTCCAGAAGTTACAATCATAGAAATATTTAAAAAGAAAATAAATTCAAAAACAGAAGAGGGGAAGCACTGGAAGTTGTGTGATAGTTTTTGACCATTTCCAGTCAGTATCTACTTGACATAACTAGGAAAATACCTTAGCTATATACAAAAATACCAATGTAAACTCCTCTGACATCTACGCTTATTTACATTTCTTGAGCCACTGACATGCACAGATCTATTTCTTCGATGACCAACACTAATGAATAAAGGCACTGTTATTAAAAGGACATACAAGTACTAAAAGAAACTTTCCTAAGAAACTGTAGCATCTCTGCCAACGGACTAGTTCCAGCTATCATAAAAATAGCACTAGCTCTCCTTGCTTCTTTCTCCCATGAAAAGGAAGAGCTCTTGAAGAAAAGAGGAGGATAAATGAAATCAAATTAATGAAATAAAAATTACTTCCTTCCTATTGTGAAATTTATAGGTCTGGAACACTGTTACTCATTCCAGTACTTTTATACAGACACAATCCAAGTATATCGTTATGTAATTTTTAAAAAACAAATATTTTTGTACTAATTATAAAAATAATGGGCGACATCAATATACATTAAAATTATCCAGCTGAAAAGAACATAATGCCAGAGTCTCAGCCTCACAGAAAGACTCAGGTTGGAAGGCTCTCTGGAAGTCATCTGGTCCAACTTCCCGCTCAAAGCAGGTCCAGCTCAAGTCGGGCTGCTCAGGGTTTTGTCTAGTCAAGATCTAAAAGTCTCCCAGGACAGTTATCACCACCTCTCTAAAACCCTGTTTCAATGTTTGATTACCATCATTGTGAAAAAACATTTTCTTAGTATCTATCCAGAATTTCTCTTGGTGTACTGTGCATCCATTGCCTCTTGTCCTGTCAACTGTGGAGCACTGAGAATACAAAGCTGATTAAAAATAGCGAAACTTTGATGTCTGAAGGATTTCTCTTCCATCACAGGAAAATTAAGTTTCTTTTCACCATGAACACTATCCTACATCAACACAGTGAGTTACAGGCAAGAAACTACATTGCTTACCAATTGATTTTCCAGGATACAGCTTTGCCTGAGGATATCCAGGAATCATTTTTTCATCTTTAGCTCTCAAATTTTCAAGTTCATGTTTGATGATATACTGACATTCTGCCATTGTAAGGAAATTGTGATTGTCATCTAAATCAAAAAGAAGGTAGTGTGAAACTGTGCAGCATAGGAAGACAACTCTGGCAGCAAACAACTATCAAATAACCAGAATCAGAAAAAAAAAAAATTCTGTGACAATTACTGCCAACCAACATCCATTAGCAAAACCTCCACTTTTTAAAATAAACGTCTCGGGAAGAAGTTTTCTCCAACTGGCATATGTCAGCCACTGCATTTTTGACCACCCAGGTGAACTAACAGAATGAATCATTCAAGAGATAAAGACACGCCTGAAGTACTAATTGCTGGAGGCTGGCATAGTATACCAGCAAGCACTACATACTCTTGCCCTGCTTGAAAGACTCTTACTCCAGCATCCACTCTTTGCCAATCTCAGAATCTCCACAGCCCTTTCTGCCATACAGTTCCTGAAGTATTTTCATAACGAAAACCAGTAAGATGTCAGGACAAATCTCCTTTTCAGTAAGGATTTCACACCAAGTATCACTGTATCTTGTTCTTTATTGCCCATGTAACATAATGATAAGCCATTTGAGACAATTAGTTCTGATAAAAATACAGAAATAAGGTAAAACAATAAGAAACCTTTCAAAAAATCCCAAATTTTGAAGAGCTATAGCAACAAACCTATTGTCAACCCCATCAGTTTATCATCAAGGAAACAGAGTCTGATGTCCTTGAGATAACAACCAAGTCATTATTTTTTTCGCCTTAAGAGTAAGGAACTATAGGGATAGCCCTAAACACACTAGGTAAGAAGCTAAAACAGCAACAAATGTCCAATACAAAGGACAAGAATACAGTATCAGTTAAACTGGGGAACTAGAAATATTAGTAGGACAACACAGGCTGTGGGGTTTCTTTTGTAGATGATGCATTTTTCACCTCATGTAAGCATGGTCAACTATTTTATCCTCTGATCAGATCTAGACAAAACTAAAATTATATTAGTGTTTAAAAAAAGAAAAAAAGACCAGGAGATACAGCAAAAATTATCTTATAGATTTACAGTAGTTAGAGTTTCATCTGCTACTAGGGAATCTGTTAGCAATGACAGTCAGATTAGCATTAAGAATGTAAAAGCATGAAAAACAGAAATGGCACGTTCACAAGTGATGATTCTTGCCAAGGCTTCCTGATTTCAGGAAAGCAAGGTCACAAAAGAAAAGTCACTGCAACAGTTACTGAACACAGAATCAGTGTTGAAAAAGCTGGCACCAAACAAGCAACAAAACTCAACTTTATTATTGTTTCAGACAGATCCAAGAACCTTTATATTGAAAATGTGGTGAAAGGCATCACTGAAGCAGGCACATGAACAGTATTAGCAAGACTGAACTGAAACTCCAATAGTTACCTGTAGAGCAAAATCAGTTCTGCCACTGTAGGGATGTTAAATACCTTACAGGTAGTACACTTAGAAGAAAATGTTACTGTGTTGGTAGTGGAAAAGGAATGATTTCAGTAATCACGCCCAAATTCCACTGAATGGCTCTGTAGTGTTATTTCATTATTTAATTCTATTTGATGTGTAAATATAATAGAGAAAAATATTTACATTTTCTCCAGCTAATTATAAGATAATAAGCCTCAAAACTGCTCACAGGTGTTAATAAGAAATTAAATTGCTACATTAATTCAAAACATTTATTGTTAATCCTGCACTCGTGTTTATCAACTATTTTTTCTTGTCTCATTTTCAACAAAAATCTTTCACACAAATAAAAGACTATTTGAAGCATACAAAAGCCTAAAGTAAAACACAAGCAAAAAGCAAAAGCTATGTGAAAGAAAAAAAAATTAATTTCATTATATGATCTGAATTTCCATAGGTAAAAATGAGTATTTTTGTCATGGTTTGTTCTTCCTATTTCTGTTCATTGTTACCATTCTATGGAATAGAAAGACTGTGAAAGGTTTAACAGTGAAATTGCTTATAATCTTTAGCCACAGCTTTGCAATGACAAGGAGCCCTAAAATTGCTTACCTGCAAAATCTTTGAAAGTTTTTCTACTGCTGTATGTAAAAGTTCTCATTGAGTTATCATGACATTCCTTCACCAAACCCACAGTTTCAGCTCCCAGCAACAGCCTTAAATGGGAAGCCCCAATGAGATAAATACTTTGATTTCCATTTTCCGTAACCAATGGTTTAACCATCAGTTGTGCACCTTTAAAGTAAAGAAAGGCAAAATAAGGTAGAGAAAACATAAAAAATTATGTCTGAAAAAACTAGTGTTTTAGCATCCATTATGTTGGACATGGTTATCAGGAGCGCTGAAGCTCCATCTTTTTAAGGGCACAGAGAATTAAGGCTTCAATAGTACCTGACATGGTGTTCAGAGTCTTGCAGGGTCACCCCCTGATGTAGCCCTGTTTCTGTGGAAGCGCTCACAGACAGTGAACCGGAACAATGGGGACAGTTTAGATCTACTCCTGTCGTGCTCAGATCATGTAAGAAACCAGTGCTTCCACAAACAGTCCCGCTTGTTTTAGGGAGACTAGACTTTTGAAATAGAAACACCCCCGAGTTATCTAACAGAAGCCTGAACGCAAGTTTTTAGTCACAAATCCAATACCCATGAAAATACTGCTGACCATAAAATATAAGCTACAGCAGCCATAAACAATGCCTTCCTAAAAAAATGTAAATAAAAAAGAAAGTCTAAGGAATTACAAATTAATTAGCCTAACTTCAAATTGTGGAAGCATACTAAACCAAGTAATGCAATATTGTCTTTGTAAGAGCCTAGAAGCTAGCAAAAGATAATTAAAATCCAACATGAATTTATCAAGATTAAGTTGCTTCCCGATAACTTAATTTCATTCTATAACATGGTACCAAGTCTTGCGGACAGGACAGCAGATGCGATGCGTCTTCATTTTGGCAAGGCTTACAACGTTCTCATAAGCAGCAAGAGAAACATGCTTAGACAATTAATATAAAAACTGATATCAAAACTATGTTGACAGACAGGTTATCAGGGCTTCACCACAAAAATGGAAGGACTCCAGAGTTCAACAGGTGTGTGACCTTAAGCCAATATTATAATTAATAACTGCATTAACAGGGTTCAGTTATTACATTTTCATGACACCAGCATGAAGCTCTACTCTTACATAAAATTAAGCAACTTCAAAAACGTGAAATAGAGTGGGATTGGCTAAACAATAATTAAACCACAAACTACCTGAAAGCTAATTTTCTGTAGGTGTTCACATTATTATGACAGCCAATTTGATTTCAAAGCATTACAGGAGATCATACTGTACTCACCTCCACTTGTTTTTTTGTCCGCAATTCGTTTAGTGAGCCATTCTATGGTTTCCTCTTTGGTGCCTTTTGCAAGCTCAATTACTACCAAAGGCCTGAAGTCAGTCTCAAAAGTATCCAAGAAAGACCAGCTTTCCGCCATCTTTTGAGAGCTTGCTAAGTACAAAAACAAAACAAAAATGCCAGTGTTAAAAAAAATACTTGGCTTCCATCTAAAAACCACAAAACTTTATTATAGCGAGTTGCATGTGTCTGTGCTTAACAAAGTGGCAGGTGCCCATTTCTGTGGACCTACTGAAAAAAGCAGTTTGAGTCACCTCTGCAATTGTCCCTTGGCAAGATGCTACCAGTCTTCAGTGGCACTTACGTCCTACTCCCTAGGTATGTATATGTATAGCAAAGTAGTAGTGATAAGAAAGCAAATAAAAAATTAAAACAAAGTAATAAGGAGAAACTATCATCAAAAACAACAGCTTGGAACTTCCTACAGTGTATTTGTCAGCAAATGAAAACATTAACAGAAGAGAATATTAGTCAAACAGATATCTAAAACCAATAAGCTTCTCCTGATAAGACTGTGCAAACACATTATACGTTTAAGCAGGAACCTTCTCAGTTAATCTTGTGAAGCTTTAACCATACCAAGGAAACTTATACCACCTTGGGTAGGTGAGCAGCACGCCTATCATATAGATAGGCAAATTACGCACAAAGCACATAAATGACATGTTGAAAGATATAAACCAAGTGTTCTGTGACAAAGTCCAGCTGCAAAGTGTTGAGCATCACCACTGCTTTATATGTAAATACTCCAAATGATCTAAGTGAACCTTTATAGAATCATTTAGGTTGGAAAAGACCTTGAAGACCATCAAGTCCAACTGGTAACTGCCACCACTAAACCATGTCCCTAAGCACCACATCTACCCATCTTTTAAATACCTCCAGGTACGGCAATTCAACCACTTCCCTGGGCAGCCCATTCCAGTGCTTGACAACCCTTTCGGTGAAGAAATTTTTCCCAATATCCAATCTAAATCTCCCCTGGCTCAACTTCAGACCATTTCCCCTCATCCTAGCATCTGTTACCAGGGAGAAGAGGCCGACTCCCACCTCGCTACAGCCTCCTTTCAGGCAGTTGTAGAGGGCGATAAGGTCTCCCCTCAGCCTCCTCTTCTCCAGGCTAAACAACCCCAGTTCCCTCAGCCGCTCCTTGCAAGTTTTGCTGACATTGTGCCTTCATCTTTTATATAAATGATTCCACAGAGATCATTGTATCATTCCTCATAAAGCAACTGAGAAGTGTTGACATCAAAAGATAACTCTGGTAACTAATGCATTCAGTTAAAAAAAAAAAAAAACAAACCCCAAACCAACCAAAAAAACTATCACAGACTGAATTTACTGGATTTAAAACTGAGGGGAAGGTTTGGTGGTGCTAGGTGGGGATTTTTTTTGTTGGTGGTTTTTTTTTTTTTTTTTTTTTGCTATTAACTTCACTGAAGAACAGATGTTATCCACTGTCTTTAAGCAGTTTCTCCCCTTCCTTTTCAAAGACTGAAATTACTTAATTTCTAAGTAAATTGCCCTAAGGATGCAGTTCAGCTTTTAAAACAGTTATGCTTGTGTGATTCACAGAGAAATCACAATCTCCGGCATTTCATATAAATTATTGTACAAAATACAGTGATACTGTAAACATATGCATATCATAATAAACAAGTCTATTTGCTTTTGACTGGCAAAAAAAAAGCTTTCAAAGACAAATTTCAGTGGAGTTTTCAGTTAGTTTCACTTGCCAGTTCACACGCACAGAACTCTGCAGCATTTGTATTTGCAGCACTGAACCCATGTATGTATGCCTTTAAGAGAAATACGCTCGATTAATAAAGTTTAAAAACATTTCAGATGCACATCTGCATAAGGAGAATGAATCAAGGGAAAACCTAATCAGGGATGATGAGGCACTGTAACTGTGAGTGTCAATGATTGACTACATCGTCTTGAGGAGCCGCTCCACCTTATTGCGTCACTTTTCACAATCTGTTTTTTTTTTTTTTTTAAAAGAGATAACGCCTGCCACACCACGCACACTGCAATTTCTAAAGAACTCAAAAAATGAAAAGCACGAGATAATTATTAAACATTACTAGTTAGTGGTATCACTTCGCAGGGAGGTCACCTTCCCAAAACAGCCTTTGCACGAACAGCGCGCTACGCTCTGTAAGCTTGGCTCCTATCGTTTATTCGGGATCACTGTGCTTGGCGTGGCGACTAAGCAAGAGTTGCTGTTTTTAGGCTTAGTACTACTGAAAACTAGAAGAGGGCCGAAGCGCTCCCTCCAACTTGCGGTTGCGAGGGCCTGCAGCGGAGAGCGGCCGGCCCGGCGCCCAG